GAACACCAGTAGAGTTTCTGTTCAACATGAACACCAGTAGAGTTTCTAAGTTCAGGGAGACGATTGTAGTGAAACAGGAATGTGAGACGTGAAGGATGGATATTTGTGTGCTTTTAACCTGACATGTCAGTCAGTTTGTCTGAACTTGTGAAGTTCTGCTGTTTGCACTGATTCATAACCTCAATGCTTTGCCACTAAGACTTTTGCACTTGTGTTATCACATGAATATTGTATTGCACTCACAGTTGTAGTTGTTTTCCTGTTTATTACCTGTTTTGTTCCAGATGTTTAGTGGATGAGGTCAGCCAACCCAGTTTGTATTTACACCCAACTAAATCTAAATCACGGTTTATTTCACCGTGTTTGCTTTTAACCACTTTGAAGCTTTGTGTTGTTTTTATGCTTTGAAAACAGTTATTAATCTCGCAGCATCATGCTTGGTTGTGTTTTGATGCAGATATTGTATCACTTTTTATATGCTCAATAAATTGACACCACATGAATGATTTCATTTGCGTTGAGTTTTTAAGAATAGTTCAACGTTCTGCACACTGAATGTAGCGATGTGTTTACTTCCAGTTTCAAGTTAGTAAGACTCTTTGGATTTGTTCATCTCAGATTGTTCTAGAAGCAAAGAAGGAACCGTGAAAAACAAGTTAAATGATATGAATAGAAACTGTCAGATTAGTTACATTGTGCTTCTTATCAAGAGGAAGGAAAGTAACACCAGTGTTATCAGCAGTGAAGTCATTTCCTCAACTTCAGGTTCGAACTTCACTCGAACCGGAAGTTGTTCTGCGCCGCCATATTGACGGCCATCCCAAAGCTCTTATTTCTGCTCTGAGGAGCGAGGATGGAGGAGGGAGGAGGGATCTGATGACTCTGAGAGAGCTGAGAGAAGAAACACTTTTTACATCATTTATCATCATTTCATTCAGTCACATGAGGCTGTTCATTCCTGATTGTCGGGTTTGATGAGTTTTATCATTTAAGAGAAACAATAATCATATTCTGGGTTATTTAATAATGACGTCACAATCTGAATTTCAAAATGTACAGATGCAAATAATTCATAAATAAGACGATCGCATTCCTCCGGTAGAAATGGATCCTGAGCTTATAAACAGAACACAGGACAGTTTGTTAACAGACTACAGAGAGAAGATATATTAGTTCCCCTGTAGTGTCGCCTCTTTTCACTGTTACTTCAGTTCATTTGACATTTAAAAAGTATTTATTTTTGTCATTTCTTTTTAATTTAAAAATGTTGTAAAATATTGAAGCTCTCCAGCAGCACCAGGTTTGGGTGTGAAGTTGTTTCTCCAGCAGATGGCGGCAGAGGGAAGGAGGAAGAGGAGGAGGAGGAGGAGGAGGACGGTGCTCCTCCTGGAGCTCCTATGTCTTTAAGGCTGGATCGTACAGCTCCAATACGGCTGACTGGTGCCACGCTGCAGCCCCTGTTCACATCGGATCCTGGACCCGGAGCTTCTCTGCCCGCACGTCTTCTACACTCTCCGTGTGTGTGTGTGTGTGTGTGTGTGTGTGTGTGTGTGTGTGTGTGTGTGTGCGCTGTCTGATGCTAACCTATGGATTGACGGAGGAGGCTATTGTTGTCAGCCCGGTGGTTTGTTCTGCTGGAGCTGCACTTTCCCCGGAGAATGCGCAGAGGATCCGGAGCCGTGTTGCTGTCCGGATAGCACAGAAAACCAGCCGAGAATCACGGTAATCTCACTGCCGTTCATTCCCGTTTATTCCTGCTTTTGTTTATTCTCTTTAGAATAAAAACAGGGGGGGGGGCTCGCGTGAGGCTCATCCCACCGGAGACTCGTCGTGTGTGTTTACCAGCACAAAGCGACACGTTGAGGTGTCGATGAGCTCCGGATGTTCGGTGAGATGTGTCTGTACCGTCAGTCGGTACCGTGATCACCACCGGGCCGATGGGAGCCGTGAAGGCAGCTCTCCGGCCTGCTGCTGCAATAACACACTGAAGTTATTGTTCACTGTATTTCTAAAAAGTAACATTTCATTTACAGCAGCAGCGGTGAGCCGAAGGAGCTCAGGGTCCATTTCATTTATATAGTTATGAAAATATGCAAATAAAACTCATATTTACACGTTTCCTGAGCGTGTAAATGCTTAAACATGTGACAGTGGACTATATTTAATAAAGGCTCCAGTCAATAATTCACCTATTATTTATTATTAAAGTATTTGGACAACATAGAATCAAAGCTATTTTTGTATTTTTATAAATTAATCATTTTTTCTCCTTGTGTTTACAAAGTTAAAGGTGCAATGAGGAACCTGTAGGGGGCAGTGTTTCACCTGACTGCTGAAACTCATCACATTCATCCCCATAAATCATCACTAAAAGACTCTGAGGGCACGTCTTCAAAGACATCCAGTTTATTAGGGCCCGAGCTACCGACAACGTCGGGCCGCGAAGGCCCTATTGATATTGTACCCGTTTGGGTAAACGTACGCATGGTTGGAGGACTTGCCATGCATGAAAACTCACCAAATTTTGGGGACTTGTTAGGCCTGGTGAATATAGCCATCTGAAAAAGAATGCATCTTTCTGTGTTAAGAAATGGCTCTCTAGCGCCCCCTACAAGTCGGACCGGCGACGCCCTTCGGCCAGTATGTCCGATTGACTTGAAATTCAACACACATGTCCACTTGAGCTAGAGCTACAAAAAAGCCAATCAGACCCTAAGCTCCGCCTCCTTAGACTTTCCGCCATATTGAATTTAGTGTAAAACACATTTCTGCGAACTCCTCCTACATGCTTAGGCCCATTACTACCGAATTTGCTGTGGATCATTACTGGATCTACGTCATCAAAAGTTATCAAAAGCTTTTTGATATCTCTTTGTGTTTACAAGATATGGACCAATACACTTCTTAGGGGCGTGGCAAAATATCAATACATATAACTTCTCAACCGTTTGTTCTAAATTCCCAAAATATTCAGCATATGTGCACATTGCATCCAGTAACATACCCTGAGAATTGTTTTGCATTCGACCACTAGGGGGCGCTACAGTAAACCCACAAAGCCTACCGGCTAAAGGAAATGTCTGATGTAACTTTCCCACAAAATACGTGTTCTGATGATTTTATCAAGACCGTTGTCGTGGTACACGTCTACATGAACATGTTTACAGAAGATGTCGTTCTAAAGGAGGTGAATGAAGAGGAATCTTCATTTCTTGTCTTCTCTGTTTTTATGAGAATGTGGATCTTTCAGATCAGTTTGAGGAGTCTGACCACAGTGTCTCCTGCAGTGAGGGTCTGGTCTTAGTCTGACCACAGTGTCTCCTGCAGTGAGGGTCTGGTCTTAGTCTGACCACAGTGTCTCCTGCAGTGAGGGTCTGGTCTTAGTCTGAACTCGGTCTCAACCCCTCAAAGTCTTGGTCTTAGTCTTGACTCACTCAACGCCCGTGAATTCTTGATCTTGTCCCTGTCTCTCTACACTCTGGTCCGAGTCCTCGGGACCTGGTCTGTGTGTAGGAGGTCTTCTTGACTAGAACACTGACGTAAAGTGGAAACGTGTCTGTGAAACAGGAGCATTGAGACCTTCACGGGACACAATCACTGTAAACATTCACAGATAGAAGATACTTTGTTGCTGTTTTAATTAACAGAAAGCTCTTAATGTTTGTGATGATCTCAGCAGAAAGACGTATCTCGAAGAAATGAAAATCTGATTGTTTTGTCCACTTTTAAAACCTTCCCAGACTTCAGTGTGATGGAAGTGACACCGTTTAAAAGCTCATCAAACTGGATTAAGATTAAGATTTGACTTTCTGTAAAGATAATGAATCTACAAACGTGACAGTTGATTAAACATTTAAATCATCTACAAAGCAAAGAACACATTCTCATGTTCAGCTTCTCAGATGCTTTTATGTTTTTCTTTGTTTTTTAATAAAGTGAATATCTTTAGATTTTGAATTGTTTGTCAGACAGAAATGTTCTGGGAACTTGTGATTAACATTTCTCTCAATAACCAATAATTAGATGAATCAATAGTGAAATGAATCATCATCTGCAGCTCAGATTAAATCTGACTCTGTGAAGTCAGTCAGTAGCAGACTGAAGCTTGAACTGTGTCC